TGAATTTGTGCTTCTTAATCCCTTTACCTTTTTCACCCATTCCCCCAACCCGCTTCCCAACTGGCAACCAACAAAATGTTCTCTGTATCTATGAGAATGTTTCTGTTCTTCCTGTTGATTTTGTTTGTAGATTCCATTGTTGATAGATATGTATTCATTGCCATTTTGTTTGTTCATACATTTTATCTTTTTCTTCAAAAAGACCCTTCATCATTTCATATAATAACGGTTTGGTAGTGATGAACTCCTTTAACATTTTCTTGTCTGGGAAAGTTTTTATATGTCCATCGATTCTAAATGACAACTTTGCAGAATCGAGTAATTTTGGTTGTAGGTTCTTGCTTTTCATCACTCTGAATATTTCTTGCCACTCCCTTCTGGCCTGCAAAGTTTCTTTTGAGAAATCAGCTGACAGCCTAATGGGTACTCCCTTGTAGGTAACTAGCTGCCTTTCTCTTGCTGCTTTTAATATTCTCTCTTTGTCTTGAACCTTTTGCATTTTGATGATGATGTGTCTTGGTGTGGGCCTCTTGGGGTTCATCTTGTTTGGGACTCGCTGTGCTTCCTAGACTTGAATGTCTGTTTCCTTCACCAAGTTAGGAAAGTTTTCTGCCATTATTGTTTCAAACAGGTTTTCGATTTCTTGTTCTCTCTCTTCTCCTTCGGGCACCCCCAAGATGCGAATGTTGGCACGCTTGAAGTTGTCCCAGAGGCTCCTTACACTATCCTCATTTTTTTTTATTCTTTTTTCTTTTTGCTGTTCTGATTGGGGATTTTTTGCTTCCTTATATTCCAAATCGATGGTTTGCTCCTTGGATTTACATACTCTATTATTGAAGCTGTGTAAATTGTTCTTTATTTCAGTTACTGCCTCCTTCAATTCTAACTGTGTATCCATGATTTCTAACTGGTCCTTTTTTATGCTCTTGAGGCCCTACCTAAGTTCACTGAGGTTCTCACTAAGTTCATTGAGCATCCTTATAAGCAGTATTTTGAACTCAGTATCTGTTAGGTTGCTTATCTTCGTTTCGCTTAGTTCTTTTCTTGGGGTTTTGTTCTGTTCTTTCATTTGGGACCTGTTTCTTTGTCTCCTTATTTTGGCTGCCTCTCTGTGTTTGTTTCTGTGTATTACTTAATGAGAGGTATGGGGCTCGCTGAGACCAGATGCTCCTCGTTTGAAAGAATTTAGGAAAAACCTGAAGCAGGATCCAAGACGGGCCAATCCTATGGTTAAGCAAGTGGCAACAGCTTGGGTGGGCCTGAAAGTTGGGTGGGGCGGGGCCTCAGGGAGTCAGCAGGGCGGGGCTACCAGTGTGAGCCAGGTTGCTGGAGTCCCAGATATGGCTTCTGTCTGCTGCCCCGGGAAGGGCTCACCAAAGGAACAAAGGCCTCTGACAGCACGTTTGTCCCCGAGGAAGCCCCCTCTCCAGCCCTCGCTCCAGTGCCAAACAGCTCAGTTCTTCCCTGTATGTCTCTGGTGCCCCTCGAGCTGCCTCCCCTCCGAGCTTAGAGGGAGAGAGTCCGATAAAGTCGTGCGCGGGCCCTTTAAGGAGCTGCCTGGGGCTCCAGCCGCCTCAGCTTCCCTGAGCCTCAGTTTCCGCTGGTTTTTCCAGCCAGAAGTTATGGGAACCTCTCTTCCTGGCACTGGAACCCTGAGCGGGGCACCTGGTGTGGGACGGGGACCCCTCAGTCCTCAGGAAGGACCTTCCCAGCCGAGGTGTCCTCCTGATTTTTATCCACCACACGTGGGTGTGGGACCAGCCCGTCCGCCTCCGCCCTCCTACCAGTCTGGATGCAGCTGCTTTAATTCCGTAGTTGTAGGACTTCCATTCAGCTTGATTTCAGGCGGTTTTGAATGATGATTGTTCTGTAGTTTAGTTGTAACTTTGATGTGGTTGTGGGGGGACGCGATACCGCGGTTACCTACCCGCCATCTTGACCGGAAGTCCTATGTTTAATTTTTTGAGGAACTGCTGTACTGTTTTCCACAGCAGCTGGAAAGTCGAAATAGTTTCAAAGACAAACTTGTAATCGGCTGCTATTAAAGGTTGTAGTGACTCATCTGTAACATTACAGTCCCCATTAAAAGGTTCTTTGAATTGGGGGGTTATGTGTTTCCAATGTTGCTCTTTAAGAACAAGAATAGTTGTAAATTTTATTTTTCCTTTGCCTCTAAGTGAAGCAATAAAATATATTGAGTAGTTAGTTGTATTCTCTGGGTGGTATAAAGAATGGGAATTTCATAGAAAAATGTGTGTCGAAAGCTCTGTCCTAGCCCTCTTGTGACATTGGTTTCTAATCAGTTTCCTAGAAATGGTGGGAAGGTTTCTCACACCAGGACTAAAAACTGAGGCAGGAAAATCTCTGCAGCACTGTACATTTTAACTTCCAATTAACAATTAAAACCTGACAGTGAGTTCATATCAGTGGGGTGTTGTTTTCTGCCGCTCATCCAGCAAATAATCGGGGTTATTTTATGTTTTGTCCTCTCCAGATTTTCTGTATGGACTCTTTTTGTGTATTTAAAACAACCAGCTAGGTGATGAAAACCTGAGCGCTTTCCAGAATTTTAACCTAAACAGCGAGGGGTTTTCAATGTTTGCTTTTGATTTCATTCTCTCTGCCAATTTAGCATTTCTGAGTACAGGTACTGCGAAAATTCAAAGAAACAATGAAAATGAAAGGCAGGCACTGTGGAAATGAGAGTGCTTTGAACGGAACCCTTAACTGAGCGATTCATTGGGAAACCTTTGGTTCCTTAATAATGTGATTTTTAACTTGGCTATTTCATCACAGACATTGATATTCCAGGGTTCAAAATATATCTCCAAGTTAAGCTTCTCCAGGAAGAGAAGTTGAAAAATGAAGTTGGGTGCAAGGCTTGATGCCAGATTATCATTTTTGACAGAGAACATCATAAAATAACCCTTTTGTCTGTTCTTGCCTGCCCATCCTCAGGGCTAGTAGATTTGGGGGCAAGTACTACAGAATGTTTATTTTTATTTTTAATTATTTTTAAATAGGATAGCATTTGATGCTTAGCTGATAGTGCTTAAATCACTTATGATACGAAGTGGAATTATAGTATGTACTCAAATACTATATGCTACCAATTTTTTTCACTGCTGTACATTGGACTTGCATGAATTTCTCTCCCCTTGTTCGAAAACACATGTTCACAATAGGTTGATACAGTTCCTGAAATAAAACTCCTGCGTGTTAATTTGATGTTTCTTTGAAGCTACTTCTGTTAAAAGAGAAATACAATCTAGACTAGTTCCTCCTAACACTGTGCTTTTAAGGAATAAAGCCATAGAAATAAGAGCCTGAAGGAGAAATCCATCACAAATCTTGTACAATGGGTATAATGTAGGCAGAGGAGAATTTAGCAACTTCCACAAAGAAAAACTGAAATCATTTTTAACACGAATCCTGTGTATAATTTCACATGTGGCAGCAAGGACTAGTAAAATACATAACATTATAAATAGTGGACTTTTAGGCTTGTCCTTAACAACCACTGGCAGGTGGACATTCATCCGGCTTTGTGGCTGCAGAGCGTGTGACCTAAGGGGTGGCCAGCACTGAGATGGCTCTAGAAGGCTCCCTTGATCCACCTATTCATTATGCAGTCTCAGCGGGAGCCTCAGTCATTCCGAGCAATATTCAACTGTCTCAGTACTCATCCCTCTGGAGTTTCTAACCTCTATGCTTTTTCTTTTCTCTCCCACCTCTAGGCTCTGCTTTTATCCCCTTCTCTGTCCCTGGGATTTAAGCAGCCAGCAACCTTTAGGACAATTGTTCTGCTTCGATATTTTCTCCCTGCCTGGCCCTTACAGGCCAAGTTCTCAATAACTTCTCATACTTTTACCTTCCTTAAAAAACAACAACAACAAACACACAAAATTAAACCTTTGTATCCTTTTTTCTCTCTTTTTCTGACTTGAATATATTAATTTATTTCCTAGCCTCCTATCAAAGTGCCCATTCTCTCCTAGGAAAGTATGATGGACCGACTTCAACCAAACTGGGCTCTAGTCCTGGCCTGGCATAGGCCCTTCTCTCTCGCTGAGACTGTTTTCTTGTCTGTAATTGGAGGAAAGAGAGATCCTACCACACACAGGTTGTTCTAAAAATTCAACAAAATGCCATATACAAAGTACCTGTTATAACCCCTGGCAGAGTTGGCCTCAGGAAACACCACCTATTATTATTATTATCATCATCATTATTATTATTACTATTAAATGTCCACCTTCCTTTCAAATGACAACTGGAGGTTCTTCCCATATGAATACTCATCTTCTTTTTCTCAGAATCCAGGATAAACAAATTGAACACAGTGTAACCCTTAAAACTATTACTCTGTATTTTGACAACTGGTCTTAACACCTGTGTTTTGTAGACAGACTCACCCTAGTCACTAAGCCTCCTGCAGATGCAGGAGGTGCTGGGGCCAGTTCAAGTGCTCTGCTACAGACTATTTTAAACATGAGAAACCTCACGCCCAAAGCTGTCTGTATTCAGGAAGGGGACCCAAAGCCTGCCTGTTCGTGATACCCAATTGCCAGAGCAAGCCCTCTGATTTGTTACCCTTGGAAAAAACTGGGTCTTTGGAGCTACTAAAGCCTCCTTACAGGCTTTTCTACAGAGAATTGGAATCTGGGGGAAATGTAGCTGCTTCCTCTCCCCTTGGGGATCTAGCCCCTAATCCATTCAGCTCAGCGGAACTAGACAGAGGTGAGAAATCTCTCCCTGCAGACTACTTGGGTTCCCAGCGTATCCACTTAGGAAATCCCCTTCTGGGGTAGGACCGGCCGCTGAAGCCCAGATTTGGCGGGAGGCGGGAGGGGTGGGGCAGCAGCTCCCTGGGCGTGGCCTAGCGTCGGGTGGGGTGGGGCTGGGGCCAGGGACCCCGCCCAGGGACCTGGGGGGCGGGGAGAAGACTACAAGAAGGAAGAAGTGGGAGGGGAGCGGGGAGACGGTCAAGGTCCGGAGAAGGCAGCGCTCCTCGAGAAGAAGGAAGGCCTTGGTGCCAGAGCGGGCGCGGGAGCTGTGGGCCTGGTAGGAAGGGTGGGGTCCCATGCCGGGGCCCCGCGGCGGGGTGCAGCCCAGCTCTGCGCGGTAGTCCCTGCAGGGAGCACCCGCAAGCGGTCTCGAGGCAGGCCGTGCCCGGGCCTGCTGCTGCAGCTCCCCCCAAGCTCCCGGGGAGCTGCAAAGCCAGGCGTCGTGGGCCGAGCGAGGCTGAGGAGGCCGGCCTGGGTTTGGAGGTGTCTGGTTGCCCCGAAGTATTAAGGTGCCGCCAAGCCTGACCTGAAACCCGAGGTCAGGAGTGCGGCGGCGGAGCGAGGCCCGAGGGTCGGCCTCGCGAGTGTTCAGGTTGCTCCACAGAAACGCCCCGGCGGTCCCGGGCAGCTGTGCTGGGTGAGGGGCGCCTCTTCCGTGCTCACTCTCCTTTAATGAGCTTTGAAATCGTACCTGTACGTCCTGGGCCTCGGCTTCGCCCTTATTTTGTCTTCTCTTGGTTCTTGTATCATAAAGTATTCCAAACACGTGTAGGTGCGCCTTCCCTACGGATATGAGCGTGGCGTTTGCCACTGCTGTGCCGCGATATTTGTGAGGACACCGCAGGTGCAGTGACACCTCCGAGCACGTTTACAGCTAGAAACTTCTGCCTTGTGTAGAAAGAGTCCATTTGTCCCAAATCACCGCTACAGTGCAGGAAACTGACAAGCATGTACTCCTGTCCTTAAGGGTAATGGCATTCATTGTCCTGTAGAAAGAAGTCAGTAGGAAAAAAGCCCTAAGCTATGACACCTACTTCTCCAGTGACATCTTGTGCTATACAAACAAGAGGGGTGTACCGGCAGCTATTCCATAGGCCTGATGTAATTCCAGAAATAACCAGCCCCCCTTCAAAAAGAAATCTCCCTGCACACTGCAAAGAGCAGACAACTTTCTGACTGTTGATTTTAAGGTAGCCACTTAACTTTTTAAAAAGATAATTCAAACACAAAATTCACAAGAAGCTATTTTATGAAATTATGTTTTCATTTGTGGAGGCAAGAGTTTGCTTCATTGTTATAAAATTTACTAAGATACGTGTAAGGTAGCTTTTTGGAATAAAATAGCAAAATACATTTTATTGTCACTCCTTGATCTTAGACTCGTAATAGGAATGCTCAAGCCTCTATTTCTTGACAGTCAGTAAAAGCTAATCACCAGGGTTCTTCTCTGAGCATTGTGTGCTCTGATGTAATCCTCTGCATGACCCCATGAGATATTCCCATGTGAGAGGAGGAAGGGAAGGCACAGAGAAGTGAGGCCACACTGCTGGAGAGTTTAGACAAAAATCTTTGTCTTTCTAACTCTTAAGCCTGTGCTCTTAGCCCTCAGCCACCTGTACTTTGTTTTTCTCAAGTAGCTAAGCAGTGAGAGAGGTTGCTGGTTTAAAGACCTCCGGATCCATGTGTGCAGCCTAACCCCAGTTCTGGTTCCAGCTCCTGACTTTGTACAGATTACTTATCTTTTCTAGGCACGTAAGAGTAATTGATCTCTAGATAGCTCCTAGATCTAAAAAATCTACAGATCAGTGAAAATGAGATTCTAGTTTTATCAATGAATCATAGTGTTGATTTACATTTTGGTGCGGAAATTACAGGGTGGTCAGGAAGGGTCAGTGGATTCATTCACTTCCTATGCATTGTGTACCTGGATAGGACCAGGTCTTCAATAGAGCACAGGACAGGAGCAGGTTCCCCTTGGAGTTTATATTCTAATTGGAGGCAGAAGGGCCTGAGGAAACAATAAACAGGTTAATTAACAAACAGCTAGAAATTGGTAACAGAGGGTGTGAGAAGAAAAATGAGGTGGGGAAGGGCGCACATTGATTATGGTGGTAAAAAAGACCTCCTTTTTTAAAAAAGGCCTCACTAAGACCTGATTCGGAAGAATGAGACGGATCTAGTGGTATTTATTCCTGCACGGGGCCTGCAAGGGGAGAGGAGGCGTAAGAGGATGGGACATGATCTAGAAATTGCCAGAAGGTCTTTGCAGGAGAGCGTGATTTATTCCAGATGAAGTTGGAGACACGGGATAGGACCATGTCGTGCAAGGCTATCTGTGGCCTGGTAAAACCTCTAGATTTTCATCTAATAGCAATGGGAAGCCACTGAAGGGTGGTAGGCCGTGCGGTGACCTGGAAGTGTCTGTGATGAAGCCCAAAGGAAAGGTGATGGTGGCCTAGGCCGGGGCAGTGGAATAGAGACACGATGTGGACTTTTACTGTCCCTTCATCAGGGGGGCCTTCCTGACAACCTTGTTGATAATAACACTCTAACAGCCCTCAGGCACCCTGGCATTCCCCATCCTCCTATTCACTTTCGCTTTCCTTACATATTACTTATTTCCATCTGACATAATATGTATCTTGTTTGTAAATTGTTATTTACTCCCTCCCATGAGAATGTCAACTGCAAGAGAGAGCAGGGTTTGCATATTTTGTGTACATTTGTTTCTCCGGCGCCTGATGTGGGCTCTTAATACATTATGTTGTAGGGATAGATTTGATAAATGGTTTGGGTTTGGATTCCATAGAACTTGCTGGTGAATTAAATGTGGTAGTGAAAGAAAAGGAGAAATCAAGGATGATTCTCAAAATGCTGGCATAGCAACTGGGTAGATGCTGATATTAATTAAGGAGAGGAAGGCAGCCCCGCCGATGTGGTTCAGTGGTTGAGTGTGGAACCATGCCGGTTCGATTCCCAGTCAGGGCACACGCCCAGATTGTGGGCCTGATCCCCAGTGGGGGGCATGCAGGAGGCGGCCAATCGATGTTCTCTCTCATCAATGTTTCTGTCTTCCTCTCTCCCTTCCTCTCTCTCTAAAATCAAAGAAAAAAAAAAGAAGAAGAAGAGGAAGGCTAGGAAAAGAACAAATTAGGAATTGGGGGAGGAGAGATCAAAGTTCTATTTGGTACATATTAAGTTGCAGTGTGTAGATTAGTATCTATTACTACATTAAAACAATTACCCTAAAATTTAGCAGATTGAGACAACAAACGTATTATCTCACACATTCTGTGGGTAGTTCTGGCTCAACATCTCTCATGAGCTTACAGTCAAGCTGTCAGCCAAGGTTGCAGTCATCTCAGGATCTGGGGCTGAAAGATCTGCTTTTGGCTTTTTCACATGGCTATTAACAGACCAGCTGGCAGTTGGCCAGAGAAATTAAGTCCTTGCTATGTGGACCTCTCTATAGGGCTGCTCCCCCAGAGTTGAATGATCCAAGAGAGAAAGAGAACCCAAGGTAGAAGCTACCATTTTTAACCTGACCTCCATGTGGTATACCATCATTTCTGTTGTGTGCTGTTGGTCATACAGACCACCCCTGATGTGGTGTGGGAGGGTGTGAATTCCAGGAAGGGGAAAGCTGTTCTGAGGCACTGCCTACCACAATGTATATGAGATGTCCAAGCGGAATGTCATATAGGCTGTTAGGTATGTTCTACTGTAGTTCCCAGAGATCTGGGCTACACATAATTATTTCAAAGTCATTCATCATGATGCATGAAGCAGCTGGAAATGTACAAGAGAACCCAGGGAGAGAAATAGAGACGGGAAGGGGACCCTGGACCAGTCCCAAAGAGCCTGACATTTAGAGGTCAATAGAAGAGGAGCCAGCAAAGGAAGAGGGCCAGTGAGGAGGGATGGGAACCAGGACAGTGTGTATTCTGGGGATGACTTAACTGAAAGACAGACTTCACTCACAAGATTCTCTTCATGAAGCACCAGAAATGCCTTGAATATGGCTGAAGTAAAAAGATTTTCTGAAAAAAACACAATTTAATATACCTGAAGTGTGAATAGTTCAGTTTTGACCCAGACAGGAGCAAAGAACAAGAAAACACGTATACAGATAGAACATATAAAGTCTTGAAAAGTCTATGCTTGTGTACTTAGAGCCCTCTTGGTCTGAGGCTTGGCCATACGCTCCCTAGGATTGTAGTAGCAGGTAGAAATGTAAGGTTTTTTGAGGTTGCTCTTGGAAATTAAGCTTGAAGACAAAATAATGAACTGTATAGCATGGGAGGAGCCCCTGCCCTTGGAAAATATCCATCCTTGTTTCCATATGGTTTAAGTGTTACTATCTGAGGAGTCTTTCTCTTCATGCATCTTAAATACCCCAGTAACAATACTGAGAATTCTTGATTGAATTGCGTCCTGTTCATTGGTCCTATGAACTTCACTGTTAATAAGAGGACCGGAGATGGTTGTTGGATGTTTTTCATACACCAGACGTGGCCTCCTTCCTGTCTTCTTTAGCTTCTCTTTAGAGTATATTTTCAATGGTCCAGGTTTTTCTAAAGAATTTTATTAAAAAAAAAAAAAAAAAAAAAGCCTTCTCATTCATTGACATCCCTCAAAACAAAAAGAAAAAAGAAGAAAAATAAAATAACCTGTTCCCACCTGGCCACCTGGCACAAATTGGCTCTGTGGTTGTGACTACCTGTTTCATGAAAACAATATTGGCCTGAGTACAAATACCTCTGCCTGCTCACAGTGGGACTCAGGAATGTTAAGCATTTCTCTGTCCCCTCCCAATTAGGCATGGCCATCTGACTTCCTTTGGTCAATAAAAGATAGGAGGAGTGACATGCAGGGAGAAGCCTTAAAAGCCAGTGTGAGATTCGTCACACATTCTTTTCCTCTTCCAGAGTGAACACCAATTTTCTAGAACATAACTGTTCTGTCAGCTTGGGTGATTGGATGAAGACAGTGAGCAGAACCCCCTGTCACTGTGTGTTAGACACACAGTGTGAGCTAAAAGTAAGCTTTTATTTTGTTTCGTCCCTGAGATTTGGGGATTTGCTTATTAATGTAGCGTACCCTAACCTATACTGACTGATATACTCAGGTAAGGTCCTAGCCCCATGACTGCAAGGATTGCTGATCTCCCGTTTACCAGACACCTTGAGAGCCTGGGAAGGTGCTGTACGACACTGGCTCTTAGGACTAGTGCTCCTCTGACTGTTGAGCTAGCAGGTGCACTTGTTTACATAATGC